GTCCGATGGTTTGGTTGCAAATTTCATTTGTACTTCGTGTAGAATGACCATGTGACCAGTGACATCACCTGGTCTTGCCATTTCAGTAGAGTTCAGTCTGTATGCACTGAGAGCTGCAGTACTCTTGATAAAAATATGCAAGGGTAAAGCATAGCTTCCATTGCTGCAGTAAGGCACGTACGCATAGCTCCTGTGATCCCAAGACCCGCTACTCTGGATTTTTTGCAGCTTAAGTTGTGCTGTTTTCCTTACTTTTGGTCCACCACACTAGAGAAGCGTATGTGACCATGGGTCTGACCACCGTGAGATAAGACCAGTAGATCATATTTGGTTCAAGATCCCACGTTTGGCCAAACATCTTTCGGCATATCCAGAGAGCTGAAATTGCCCTATTGACTATTTTGGTCAAGTGTTGATTCCACGTGAGTTTCTTGTCTAATATTACTCCTAGATATTTGATCTCTTCGGAGAAATTGATAGGCGCCCCATCCATAATGGGTTCCTTTAACTTGATCTTCCTTCTTTTGGTGAATGGAACGATGACTGTTTTGCTTGGGTTGACATTCAAGCCCTCCTGAAAGCACCAGTCTTTCAGCAAGTTGAGTGCAGTCTGCATTAGGTTTGATAAAATCCTATCATGCTTGCCTCTTATTGTATTGTTATATTATTCGTCCTTACTGAAAGAGGTCTCTTAGTTTCACATGTATAAAACTTTCCACAAACACAAGGTATACTGTAAATACATAGACAAATCGAAACCAGCTGAACATATCCTCACTGAAGATGGACAATATATGTCAGAGTGGAATAATATTGAAATCATACGAAAAGAAGATAACAACCAGAAGAGAAAAATCGAGGAATCTGCATGCATTCTTCTGAACGGAAACAATAGCATTGCTTTCTGTTCAGTTGATACAGATAGAACATGATATTCACTACTGAAATCTGAAAATGAAAATGGTGAATTCATGAGTAATTAATGAAAACATCCTGTAACTCATTGGATTGGCAACGTCACCAATTGTCAGAGAACTGAAAAGTGATAAATACGAATTTGCAATACAAAAAATCCATTTTTCATTTTGAAAACGGGAGCAGATATGTTCCCGGAACGTCCAAAGATAAGTGAAAATTTGATACTTTTTCTATAAACCTTTATTTCTATTCTTGAAACTGAAACCTTTTTCTATACAAATTGTCACTAACAAGATGGTGAATTTTTCTTTTAGGCTCTCCGATAGGAAAATTCTTTAAACGCAGTGAAATTTTGGGGCAAATCATCTGATTTGTTCTAAATACACGTATATTGGAATATTATTCATACTTTTATTTTATAGAGACGGAAGAGAAAATAAAAAAAATCTGGAATAATGAGTATATTGTTTATCTAGTTTTGGTCCTCTAACCCTAGACTTCTGATGAAGCCTACAATTTCCCTGACGGTTGAATTTTCCACCTCAGCAGGGGTGAGATAGTCCTATTCTAGGTGGTTCAGCCTTTGGCGGACTGATACTTCACATGAGCAAAGAATGTGTTTCGCGGTTGCGGTCGCATTGTTACAAAAGCGACAAGTGCCAGTCTCCGCCGGGACCATCTTTTTGAGGTGGTACCTCAGAGGGCCGTGTCCTGTGAGAAAGCCTGTGATAAGCTTTAGCTCTGGTTTGCTGAGGCTGAGTAGCTCTTTGGCTCGTTTCTGCAAATGGTTGATGAACCTTTTCGCTTGTCGTTGACCTTGAGTTGCTCTCTAGTAGGAGGACTTTTCAATTTCTTCCCATTTCCTGAGTTCTTTCTCATGGTGACATTTTCTTATCCCACAAAAAGGCTCACGACCAAAAAGTGCAGATGCTGCACCTTTTTTTGCAAGGCGATCAGCTGCCTCATTTTCTTCGATTCCTTCATGCCCTGGAACCCACAAAAGTGTGACTTTGTTGTCCTTCCCCAGTTGCAGTCCCATGTAATATTTGATGTGAAAACGAATGATTTTAGGGCTTTCAGTGCGGCTTGGCAGTATGAGCAGATAGATTTGTTGGCACCCCTCAGACCTTTGCACAGACACCTTTTGGCGCAAAGGTTGATGGCATGTATTTCAGCTTGGAAGATAGTGGGGGAGTGACCTAAGGCTTCAAATAGCCTACATCCGGGTCCATATACACCCGCGCCTACCCCTTCTTCCATTTTCGAACCATCGGTGTACCAAACAAGGGACCCTCTATCCAGCTGAGGCTCAGCGGAACCGTACCTAGAGCGGCTTTTTATAACCACTTCAAAGGTATGATCGAAACTAAGCCTGGCTGGCATTATGTCCGATGGTTTGGTTGCAAATTTCATTTGTACTTCGTGTAGAATGACCATGTGACCAGTGACATCACCTGGTCTTGCCATTTCAGTAGAGTTCAGTCTGTATGCACTGAGAGCTGCAGTACTCTTGATAAAAATATGCAAGGGTAAAGCATAGCTTCCATTGCTGCAGTAAGGCACGTACGCATAGCTCCTGTGATCCCAAGACCCGCTACTCTGGATTTTTTGCAGCTTAAGTTGTGCTGTTTTCCTTACTTTTGGTCCACCACACTAGAGAAGCGTATGTGACCATGGGTCTGACCACCGTGAGATAAGACCAGTAGATCATATTTGGTTCAAGATCCCACGTTTGGCCAAACATCTTTCGGCATATCCAGAGAGCTGAAATTGCCCTATTGACTATTTTGGTCAAGTGTTGATTCCACGTGAGTTTCTTGTCTAATATTACTCCTAGATATTTGATCTCTTCGGAGAAATTGATAGGCGCCCCATCCATAATGGGTTCCTTTAACTTGATCTTCCTTCTTTTGGTGAATGGAACGATGACTGTTTTGCTTGGGTTGACATTCAAGCCCTCCTGAAAGCACCAGTCTTTCAGCAAGTTGAGTGCAGTCTGCATTAGGTTTGATAAAATCCTATCATGCTTGCCTCTTATTGTATTGTTATATTATTCGTCCTTACTGAAAGAGGTCTCTTAGTTTCACATGTATAAAACTTTCCACAAACACAAGGTATACTGTAAATACATAGACAAATCGAAACCAGCTGAACATATCCTCACTGAAGATGGACAATATATGTCAGAGTGGAATAATATTGAAATCATACGAAAAGAAGATAACAACCAGAAGAGAAAAATCGAGGAATCTGCATGCATTCTTCTGAACGGAAACAATAGCATTGCTTTCTGTTCAGTTGATACAGATAGAACATGATATTCACTACTGAAATCTGAAAATGAAAATGGTGAATTCATGAGTAATTAATGAAAACATCCTGTAACTCATTGGATTGGCAACGTCACCAATTGTCAGAGAACTGAAAAGTGATAAATACGAATTTGCAATACAAAAAATCCATTTTTCATTTTGAAAACGGGAGCAGATATGTTCCCGGAACGTCCAAAGATAAGTAAAAATTTGATACTTTTTCTATATACCTTTATTTCTATTCTTGAAACTGAAACCTTTTTCTATACAAATTGTCACTAACAAGATGGTGAATTTTTCTTTTAGGCTCTCCGATAGGAAAATTCTTTAAACGCAGTGAAATTTTGGGGCAAATCATCTGATTTGTTCTAAATACACGTATATTGGAATATTATTCATACTTTTATTTTATAGAGACGGAAGAGAAAATAAAAAAAATCTGGAATAATGAGTATATTGTTTAACGAGCACGGAATGACAGTCATTTCCCAAGAGAATGAAGTTTGGAATCATGAGCTTAAGAAGCATGCTGAAAATCATACGGGTGGGATATTAGCATTCGGGGCGAGTGAAACACTATACTTTTTAGCGATTTTTCATTTCTCCGGCTTGTAGTCATCTGATTTTTCCATCAGTAATGCTCATCTTTCAGACAGAGCTCTCATTGCTTGAAATTTGACATTTCATGGGAAATGAGATTTTGTGAAATAGTAACACAATGAAGTCATTGTGATATCATATACGGAAATGAAATTGATGACCTACAAAGTACCTCATTGATTTTTCGAACACAGTGGAACAAGAGCAATTCTGTGTTATAGCCGTAGAAAATTGACGATTTCTCTCGAGATTGCTTGCAGGATTCAGTTCCTTTGCCCTATACTAGACGGCGCTTGTCTACTGATAGACATTATTCCAATAAAGTCAATTTTCATATTCTGAAATTGTGGCAGCAAGCAAACAACAAATATGTCCAATAAATTCATGTATTCAATATTTCGAAAATGATTTGATGGCAGTTAAAGGTATGGTTGAATTTAACGATATTATCGAAACCATTTGGGTTTAGTCATATCGATATTGAATTCATTAGGGATGTATGTACTTAATGATGAAAAACACTCAAATAAATTGAAAATAAATGGACGGTGCACATGTGAAATTGAAGTTTGCTCTGCACTCATGTTCGTTTATTTATTATGGAATCAATTAAACGAAACGCCAATTAAAAATATGCAAATTTCATAATCGAAAATGTTGATCTGACAAATGATTTACCTACAGGGTGATTGGAAATTCTAGGTTTCTCGTTCGAATAAGATTTCTATAATTCGAATTGAATTTACCTCTCAGTTTACCAACAGGCTTTCCCTATAGCACGAACGAACGATGTTCTTCGCACATTATAGGGATACCCAGGGATTCCTTTTCGTGCGCTCCAAGAAATAAAAGAAATCACATTCATCCTGTTTTTGGTGCAGTTTTCTGTATATGGGTCATTCTCCAGAAATGATACTTTTCACAACAACTTTTTTTTTTTAATTGTAACCACAAATGTATCACCACAAAACTATAAATAGGTCAATATTGAAATTATACAACATAAAAACTTGAAGATCAAACAGATTTTTTCGATTTTCATCGATAACTAGCATTTAAAACAAAAGTAGTGCCAGAGGAATGATGGTGTGGACAGAGGAATGACGATATCGTTTTGTTATAATTCTTGTTCATCAGCAAAACATTAAAATACATTCAAATAATGTCAGATCATTTCTCGAAAACATCAACTCCCATATTGAACTCATAAAATAATTTGTTATCATGAAAAATCATGGATGGTGTGGGCAAAACATTTAGTATATCATCGAATGTCACATATGAGATGTCTCTTTCATTTGGTTTGAATACCTGCTTACTATTGAGTTCGCATACTTTTAGAAACATAACTCGAACCTCACCGTCTTCTTCAATCTCATTTTGCGCGACAGCAACATATCTATAGCTCACTTTTTTCGTTTTGAGCTGGACCAACAAAAACGTTCCATTTTTGATATTATGAAGGATAGATTCTGTCTTATCGGTACTTGTACCAGCTTCTTCATCATCCGAGTATACATCGTTAAAATTTAACTTTCTATTAGGAATCTCTGTTCCAGTTGAAGAATATCGAATTAATGGCAAGTCTTCATCACTTGATGCATCCGAAGCTTCTTCTGGAGATAGTGGGTTTGCCGACTCATACACCTTCGAACCAAGGAGATAAGTATGATCATCTTCGTCCAAAGAACTCAGCGAATAGAAGAGTAATTTAGGAAAGGCTTTCTGCGATAAGTCTTTCTTCACCTGATGCACTTTCATGGTACCTTTGAAAATTGGCATTTTTTTGTTGTCTAGTCGTTCTGATATTCTCTTCACATCGCTAGCATCAACTGTTAGGTACGTTATACCTTTGATATTTTGTGACAGTGCAGTTACCAACGTATCAAATGATGCGATATCATGGCCTTGGGCAACCAATCTGTCCGCTGTTCTCTTAGTCACTCCACCTACACCATCCGGAGCTCCTTTTCCGTGGCCTGCCTCCAAGTAATTCCAAGAAAATTTCCTGATTGTTGGAAACAAATTAGATAGTTCAACAGCGAGAAAAAAGAACATCGTTTTATTGCGATACTGTGTAGCAGGACTATCACTTACAAAGTGCAAAGTATCAATAATGGGATACCGCTCCATTAAGCTCTTTAAAATAGGATCTAAATGTGCCCATATCCCTGGTACATTATGATTAAGACACTCTGATAGCGTACAGTAGCATTCTTTCTTCAATTTTCCACCAGCGTTCGTGTACATAACAACTGTGTGGAGTGATATCTGTTGTCTTGATCCTCCAAAATGAAATGCCTGAATCTCTTCAGCATACTTTAGATTATAATTCTCACTGAAGTCCATATGAATTAATGCCTCATTAGTCTTCAGATCCTTCTTCAGCTCACTGATTATTTTATATTGGTGATAAGCCCTGCCTTTGTGCTTTAGATACTTTATTATATTACTCTCAAACTCCTCAACAATTTTTGAAATAGAACACAAGCACTTTTGTTTCGTGATTTTAACAACTGTCTTCTGTTTTCTAGTTTTGTTATCAAAATATGTGTGTTTCTGTGAACACCACTTATAAAAAAAGCTCATTTCGCAGCGATTTTGATCTTCAAATTGAATATTTTTGTTTTCACATTCAGGACAATCTCTGAGAAGGCATTTCTCAGTTCTATTCTCACAACAGAATGAAGATATTACCGAATTGGAATTGTTTTCTTTGATAACATTCAATCGAGAGAGAGTCCCAATCAGCAAAGTCATATTCAAACATACCATGCAGCTGCAAGTATCTCTTGAAGAAACTTTCTTTGAAACGATATGAAAAGGACGATTCTTACACCAAAAAGCATAACTAACAGGTATATTTGGATGCTTTTTCAGAAAAATCTTGTGTAAATTGAACATTGTGTCATTCAGATATCGTTTTTGCTTTATCTTACCATTTCTAGAGCAATAGTCTTTTTTTCCTGGACACATTTTGCTGTTGAGGTCTGATTCTAAGAATTTCCAAATTGCGTTAATTTTCTTACATCTCTCCATTGCAGATCTGTTCTGTACGCTTGTTGAAGATTTTGTCAATTTACTGCCCTTCACAATTTTTTGTAAGTCCTGTTTCATCCGATACTTTTTTATAATGGGTCCTGATAATATCTGTCTGAAGAATCGCTTATCTTTATCGCCTCTCAATTGTTCATAATTAGTTTTCAATTGATCTGATACAGCTTCAGCAAAAAGCAGTTTCTTCGCAATCTCCGGAGTTTGATTCCCACCAATCATATCACCCACTCTTGTTTTGGGCGAAGGCTGGTCAAATCGCCTGTTCTTCTGTTTTGTTTTCTTCTTCAGTCTATAATATTTTCCTTTATATCTTGCGACGTCCTTTCGTAGTTTGAGAATCATTTTTTCTCTTTCTTTGGATCTTCTGCTTCTCACTTTTCTATTTCTTGCTGCTAGACGTTTGCCTGAAATACTCTGAGGCGTAACTTGATGAACTTCATTTATGTTTTCTACAGAAAGGGGAGATGCTGGTGGAGTATTTTGTTCCAAAAATTCATTCTGTATTTGGGTTTGCTTTCGCTTTTGTCTATAAGTTTTTGAGGTTTGACGCCACTCTTTTCTTTTAGCACGTTTTTCTCTTTCATTCAGCTGACTGATAGGTCTGATTATCTTCTTTTCCTTTTTTTTCGAATATTGATCGCGTTCTTTCTGTCTCAATTTTTCTCTTTCTTCAGGATCTTGCTTCATCCTATCATATCTTCGTTTCTCAGCTTCTCTTTTTCTTCGCAGCTTCTCTTCCCTTGAAATCGGCATGTTTATAATCTGAAAAAATAACTGTTATGTGATCCTCCGGCAAAAATATAATTCCTCTGGCTGATGCATCATTCCTCTGGATCCACAAACCCAGAGGAATGATGCCAGAGGAATGACGTTTTCAATAATATTTCGTGCCCAACTGTACACGGTACGTCTAACCTAACCTCAAAAGTTGGCGGTCAATAGCTGTTTACGTATATTAGGTAATAAAACTTTGAAAATCATGATTAATTCGAAAATTAATGTATAGTACTTACCAGAGGAATGTGTTGGCCGCTTGTGACACTATCAAACACCACAACAGTTTTCCAATATAAATGAAAACAATGCCAAATATAGCACGCACATCCGATCAGGTTTATGAAAGACTGTTAGAGCTATTAGTTTCCAAGGAGAATGTCACGTAGCGGCATCTATCTCACTAATACCGATTTTTTTCTGTCTGTCCAGAGGAATGATTGATGAACAGAGTTATGAGATTCTGATTTTTTTTCAGGGTGAATTATTCTGATTTTTTCTGATATTTTACAGAGGATAGTTCAAAATAGTTGTTAGCTCGAAAAAACTACTATTCAAGTTGATTTATTTGAAGTTTCAAACCGGTTTTTGATAGTTAATACTACAACTGCCATGACAGTTTCGTCCCAGAGGAATGATTTTGAGCGGATAAATTGGAAAAAAAATGGATTTTATATTTACATTTGGTGGATCTATTCTCAACAAAAATTTTGAAACATTCGAAAATAATTATTTTTGACACGATCCACCAGATACTGAACAATATGGAACCTAATAAATCGAGTTTCTTCGGAATGGGCAACTTTCGGAGAATGACCCATATATAACTGGATGAACAACAATATAATGATATAAGAATATAAAGAAATAACAATCCAACCTCCCTTTTTATGCTTATATGTGCGCTCCCAATTTTATATCTTGGACGTAAACCTGAAACCATTGTACTTTTGAGAGTTAATATGTTTCACCATTTATAGAATTTGCTCGTAAATTCTGATTTGAATTTTTTTCAGTTGACCGAATGTGTATAATTTTTGAAAGATATGGGAGTAAATGTGTGTTATATAATAAAATATCTCCAAATATTTCATTGTTTTATCAGGATCAAATGTGACACTTCATTGTTTGACAAGCGATATTTGCGTTTGCGCGGCGAAGCGACTGCGAAGCCGAGCACGCAAATTTTGCGAGTCATACAGATACACTTTTGATCCGAATGGAACATTGTATTTTTCATGCAACCGAAATAATTGAAATCCAATTAATAAAATATAAGTGAAGTGACTTCGAGAGCTAATTTTGAAACAAAAACGAAGAAGAAATATTTTTGTTTCTCAGAGAATACACAATATCTATCCTTAACTTTTTTCTATCAGTTCAATATGATCAAAGGAAACACTCCATGTGAGTTTTGTCGTGTCTAAGTCACAGACTTCCTACCCTGCTCACGCACGAACGAGATAATGCCGCTTCTTTTCACAGCGTCCCATCCCGATTTATTTGCCCTCTTTGTACTCCTTTGTAGGTCTGATAGTGACTGATAGGGCCGATGTCACTGATAGCTCGCAAAGATCCCTCCTTTATAGCGTCTCGTTCTCCAGGATTCCAGAGCCTTGTCTGATGACGAAACGCTCCTTACCATGCAGTGGCAGATCTCGATTATTCTATCATGATGACTAAATAAAACTCAAAATCATCAGGGGAAACATGTTCTCGGACAAACATATGTCCATCATCAGCCTATAAGAAATTAGTCCTACAAGAGACAATAATGAGTGCAAAGTGAAATTCTTACCATACAGTCGTTCACATGAAGGTGAAATAATGTATCTGCAATTACATTGAGAATGAAGAAAGTTACACATAATAGTATCAGAACATTATTGAAAATATTTTGTTTCTTAATTTTTTTTGATTTGATGGGAAAAAGATTTATAAAACCCCTGCATTAATATATATATAATTGATAATAACGAGAAATTTGTTGAAAAAATTGATATTTACTGCCATTTTGACCACTTGAGTAGCAAACAGCAAGTAGTGGAGGACGGAAATCCCATGACTTGACAGACACTGACAGGTATGTTGACAGATGTCAGTGTCTGTTAAGTCATGGGATTTCCCTCAATGAACAGACTCAATATGATAGTATCAAATTGTTCAATGCTTTGAATTTTCGTAAATAGACAAAATAAAACTTCTCATCCGCCTTGGTCCTCATCATAATATATTTCCTCGTATATTTCATATTTCATAATTCCATAACTGTATTTGTGGTCGTGGGTTGGTATCCCTGACTGTCATTGTCGGTCTCTTGTCAGTTGTCTGTGCTGCATTGACATCTGTCAACATACCAGTCAGTGTCTGTTAAGTCATGGGATTTCCGTCCTCCACTACTTGCTGATTGCTACTCAAGTGGTCAAAATGGCAGTCAATATAAATTTTTTCAAAAATGTTTTCATAATTATCCCGGTGGCCCTAATGCTATGAGAGCGGCTCGTGTTTGACCCACCATAAACTATAATGCAGGGGTTTTATGAATTTTTTCCCCATCAAATAAAAATAAATTTAGAAAAAAAATATTTTTAATAATGTTCTGATACTGTTATGTGTAACTTTCTTCATTTTCAATGTAATTGCAGATACATTTTTTCACCTTCATGTAAGCGATTGTATGGTAAGAATTTCACTTTACACTCATTTTTCTCTTTTGTAGGACTAATTTCTTATAGGCTGATTATGGACATACATACGTATGTCCGGAAACATATTCCCCCTGATGTGACATTGTTCACAAAGTAAACGGTCGAGGAGATGATTTTGAGTGTTATTTAGTTATCACAACTACACTCCACTTTGAGAAACGTTGGACTTCTACCAGAGATTGATTATAAATTGATAAGAGACCTCAAATCAATAAACTATTACATGATTATAGTATAGTATAGTCTTGTACCGGGAGAAGTGTTTCAAAGTATCAGCCGCTATAATAACTCTTTCTATTTTTGACAGTATAGGATGAAAATGAAGAACAACAGCTGCACAGAGGTTTTGTTTTGCTTCTCGAATCAACAGATACATTTCGCTATCTGAAAGGATATTTACACAGGAAAGGAAAAATGTTCCTGATGTTTTACGTGATTCATGACTGCTACCATTGAGTTTTCAAATGGTGGGGTCATCCTACATTCATCAAACCCGATCAGACCACTGGTTATGCAGTATCAGTGCCCCTAATATTGGCGACTTGGATTGTCAGCACTCACCCATAGTGCTGATAATTCTTCCCTCGATCTCGCCGGAACTCTTTCATTGACACCATGTGGAGAGGTATTGGTATGCTGACGAACCCAATAGGGCATTCCTCCTCCCACCGGAAACCTATATGTCAACAAGATTCCTCTCGTACCTTTTGATGGGTCACTGTCGCTATGACTTTCATCAATAGCTGCTCAGTTTTTACGTGGGTTGTGTTCGTCTGCTATCCTTACGTGATGACTACTCATATTGATGGGATTCCTTCTTTAACCTCAAATGAGTAACAGTTTGAGCACCCCTGTCCGGATCTCTTCCTCGTTCTCGAAGATGGTACTCGGATTTTCGGCAGTCCTACCGGAGGTACTAGGACAGCCACACGAAAGTCCTGGAATCACTTGAAGCAACCCACCTCCTGTAGGTCCAAAGCAAAAAGTACACTCATGGTCTCTTTGCCGGGACAAGCCACAGCTTCCCATGTCGACCAGAATCTTCTGGCCCCGATGGATGGGTATCCGTTGGAGTCCGTACAGTCGTCTTCAGAGATCATGTCGCGGTTGGAAGGTGTCAGCGCTATTATTGCAGGAGTTATTAGGAATGCTATCATCGTCCATATATGCAACATGTTTTCTGAAGAAGACTGTGCATCTGCCATTGTAAGAGTGAGGACCCTGTTCAACCAGCCCCGAGACGAACTCTGATAGGGTGGAATTGCTAAGGGCTACCACCACCCCGCCGCCGTGGAGACACGGTAACTACACGGCCGAGTATACAGGAAACAGCAAGATTTTTATGCATTTCAACATGAACACCGTATATATATTTTCAGACCATTGAAAATACCTTCCGAGAAGCTTTAAGGGAATACCCACTAATTTAGGTCATGGAAATTTCAAAAATGAAAGGAATGAATGTGAATCAAAACTGTTGTGTTTTTGACCGTATTTCTGATTTGCCAAATGCAATTACTGAAATAGTTTGAAGACATATTTTTCCAAGACCATGATGAAAGATATTAATCGAATGAAATTTCCTAGCTGATTTTATTGCTGATTCCCAATTCGTTGGCTCTTATCGATGAATTTATTGTACCCACACGTATATTTTCCTATGGATTTTGTCAATGATCAATGTCCCTTGTAGTTTTGACTTATACCAGACACCATTACAATAATCGACGGTAATAATTTGCTGTTATTGGTATTCAATTGATTCTATTCTTTTCTATTTTATTCTGTTATTCAGCAATATCTCTAGCAACCAATATTATAGGCTGATCCCAGGGTTTGTGATTTGAGTCAACTCCTGGTTTACTATAGACACCTCATGTGCTTTTCTTCATTGTTGCTACCTAGGCCTGCCCACAAACTCAGTTTGTAGGAGTAGTTGAAGTGAATCGCCTTCAAATAATTTGGCGCTCGAGATATTCTCTTAACTGGTACTAGAAGTGTTTGTTCGAAAAGCATAAAGGTTACTTCCACAAAAATGAATGTCCTCACACAACATGGCGGGTGATTGTTTTCGAAATTACATACCAAGAAACTTTCGACTAGATGGCTATCAACATGCTCCCGTGTAAGTCTAGGGGTATCTAAAAAAGTTCTTGTTTCAGAGTAAAGAAAAAAAAATAATATTCATTTCACTTGATTTTGAATTAATATTTCAACCTATGCTATCTCTATTTTTTTCAACACTAGCGCCATATTTCTATATATAGCAAGACTACGCATTCATTCATCACATACAATGATTATGGACATGTCAAAAATAATCACAGACTTGCTTGATTTGTGCTCAACAACAGTTTGAAGTAGTGTTATTTCAACAAATTGATAATTTGAATGTACTCTTTTCTTGGTGAGTTATTTTTTTCAGTTTTATAGTTATGTTCAAATTCAATTTGTGGTCTTAATGATCAGGTGAATAACATATGTTCCACATGCCGTATCATTGTTTCGAGCATTCATGATATTTGATTAATATATATCGGGTTTATTGTTGCCGTCCTACATATAGGACATTAGGCAGCTATATGAACTTTCCTCATTTGATAGATGTTTTTAATTCTATGAAGCAATCGCTATCAGAAAGATGAGAGAAT